CGCAAGGTTAAAAACTCAACAGGTTTATTCATACACTATGACAGTGTTCTTTTTGTAAAGGTTGCCATCTAGCAACTTGTATCTTGGGTGTTAGGGCTTTGCATAGTACTTAGGGAGAGCTGAGCCTGGAATATCTGCCAGTCAGTTGGGTTGTAGCTCCCTCATTCCTCCATGTGTGCAAGACTGAGCAGAGGAGAGCTTGCCCCATGCTGAAGCTAAGTTTGTACTTGGGCATGTGCTTGAGCATTAGCTATAGGGGGAGCCTGTCTGGTAACCACGATTGAGCCAGCACATCACTGTGAATGCAGACATATGCTCTGAGCTCCAATGCCTTGTGTCATGGTGTCTTTCACCTTTGCCAAAAAGATGTCCTTTTTGTCTTTGTATTGGGACTCAGGACCTGTAATCCACAGGAGATTCTGTATTCCCCTGCTCACTGTGGTCAGACAGGTATCCTAGGCTGCATCAAAAGCAGTGTGGTCAGCAGGTCAAGGGAGATAATTCTGCTCCTCTGCTCTGGTGAGACCTCACCTGGAGCACTGCATCCCAGCTCTGGGTTGCTCAGCACAGGAAAGACATGGTTCTAGGTACATAAATGCATTCACAGTGAAGCTGCCTGCAGATTTCACTAGTGTTGGCTGTGCTCCTTTCCTGTATCCTCAGCTTTCAAGTTACTACATCATTCAAAAGTTCTCTTCTTTCTACTAGGAAAATCTGAACCTGGCCCTGAACTCTGCTTCAGCCATTGGGTGCCATGTTGTTAACATTGGAGCTGAAGACTTAAAAGAAGGGAAACCTTACCTGGTTTTGGGTCTTCTATGGCAAGTCATCAAGTTGGCTGTGCTCCTTTCCTGTATCCTCAGCTTTCAAGTTACTACATCATTCAAAAGTTCTCTTCTTTCTACTAGGAAAATCTGAACCTGGCCCTGAACTCTGCTTCAGCCATTGGGTGCCATGTTGTTAACATTGGAGCTGAAGACTTAAAAGAAGGGAAACCTTACCTGGTTTTGGGTCTTCTATGGCAAGTCATCAAGACTCTT